GCTTTAGCTGTGTTCGTGGGCCAAAAGTGTTCCTAGTGAATGTTGTTGGGAAATGCCATTGAAAGCTCCCAGCTACTAGTTTCGAACTTGAATCTCCGAGAAAAACTGGCCACACATACCATTCGGATAGGCCAACTACAAGGCTCAAGATAGGATGCATAATTATGGGTTATGCACCCATTAGTAATCAAATTTGGACCCTTCATTTAGAAAATCCAGATCTAAAGATCGAGAATTAAAGGTCATTTTTATTTTCCATAGCTTTTTTAATCGGCTCATATCTTATTCGTTTTAACTCGATTTTTTTTTTTTTGCATAGATGGAACGAGTTTATCATGCTCTACAAAATGAGATATATTTCAATATTTTTTGAGAAAAAATAAATTATTGTCTCTCTGTACCAACAGCATATCATATGGTATCTTCTTCATTTTTAATTCGTTTTTGAAAAAACGTTTGCACAGAAGGGACGAGATCATCATGATCTATTGGATCTACAAATTTCTGGGTGAACAAATTACATGACCAAAAAATACCAAAAAATACCATACAATACCACCCTGGTACGGGGTGGTATATCTTGTGGTACACAATGTTAAAAGTCGTAAATGACAGTTAATATACTTCTAATATCATGTATTCAACCATCCTACAGTCTTGGTTTGTTCACACCACCATGGTACGCTTTTCAAACCATAGGTATGCTCTTATTTCAATACCAGTCAATACCATATGCTATAGACTGGTAAAAAATGACTCAATTTTTTTTGTTCGAAAAATATATCAAAGTGGATATCATTTTGAAGAGCACAATTAATATGATCTAACTGTGCAAAAAAAAAATCGACTTAAAACGAGTGAGAAATCGTCCATCAAAAATGAGAAATTATTGGGTACTCCCGGAGTACCACGTCACCCTGTCTACGTGGTACTCCCGATCACTAATTGCCGGCCATTTGTCATGTTCAGCGTCATTATTGATAACTACTTATATTTATTCCATTTTTTTATCATTTACTTTCTCTTTCCTCTTTTAATTGTTTCCCATAGTTAATGCCTTAATGGCGCCTCTCTCTTTTTCTGAATGGAAACAACTCTCTTTCTTATTTCTTTTTCTCTTTCCCCGGTAAACAACCCATCTTCATCAACCGGAGGTCTTGGGAAAAACATAAGAAAACAATCAAAGCTTCAAAGTGCCCAGAAGTGTATGATAGGCACTGTGAATTTCTCAGGAAGTTTTTGAAAGACATGTTTGCTTGTTAACAGGATTGAAAAACAGAGGCTACATAGTGGGATTAATTAATCGAAGCTCTGGAACTAGATTAATCAACTCAATTCTAGATTTCCAGCGAGATTAAGACCCGCACTACTAATCCAGTTTAGAATTAAAACTCAACCTAGAGCTTTCACTAGCTGATTCCAAAATAAGAATCGTCTCCACGAAAGTTATGAACTTCTCCTGTTCTAGTACCTACAATTTTTTGGAAGCACGTAATCTGAAAACTAGCTAAAATCCCAGAAACTCGAATTGCTTAAGAACTAAATCTGGAACGGATTTGGACTGGAAGCTGGAGCAATCAAGCTCGAATGAGATAAAAATAAAATAGAGCTTCTTTTTGCTAGAAAAGAAAGAGAAAGAAAATGGGGTAGGAGAGAGACTGTTAAAACTTAGTATGGGAAGAAGACAAAGACTTCTTATTTTGGCAGGAAGGAAGAAGAGAAGATGGAAGACCGAAGACCGGAAGAGAAATAAAAGCAAATAAAATATGCTAAATATCAACACTAATCAATATTAATAATAAACTTGACAGATGGCCGGCAATTAGTGGTCGGGAGTACCACGTAGACTGGGTGACGTGGTACTCCAGGAGTACCCAATAATTTCTCATCAAAAATTAAGAAGAGGAAAATTAAAGGCTTTCCGGGAGAGCGGGATGCTGATGTGGACAGGTTACTCACCATAATGTTACTGACCTGATTCGTTCCCCAACTACAAGGTTAACGGGTGGATATTACACATCGTCGTTTTACATTTTGCTTTGTAAAATGTGCCTCTTTTTTGGTTTTCCTCTTCTCATTCTAAGTTGAACATATGAATATAAATGTTGATATAAAGTACAATCTATTGGATCTAAGTACGATCTGTTATTTTGGTGTAATGTTATATATTATTACGGTTGATATTTGATATAATTTATAAATGTATAAACAATATAATTACTTTTTTATATATTTTAACTAAACTAGGCTAAAACAGTCGAACCATTAACCCTCAACTCACTTATTTGACCGGACCAACAAACTAAACCGAATTGACAACTTGTGCTCCGAACACGGGATACCAAGTTGAGAGATTTCTAGAGATAGAGAGACGAGCAGTTTTGGGCGTATAATCTTGGAAAAAAATCTCAAAATACACAAGTTTTTTTAAAGAAATCTCAAAATACACACGTTATGAAAAAATTTTCCAATCTACACATGTTTGGGCATTCACCGCAGCAGAGAAAGGCGGTGATTGCATCACCGCAGGAGAGGAGGGCGCTGATTGGGCGCTGATTGCATCACCGCTGTAGAGGAAGGCGGTGATTGCATCAGCGATGTAGGGAAAGGCCGTGAAGGCTTCGCCGCATTACACGGCCGCAGTGAAGGCCTGACCTGCGTCGAAACTTTAAATGAACGTAACTTTGTGCTCGGTTCTCCGATCGTAGCAAAAAAATTTTTGATTTCGCACAACTTTTCGAGATATTGCAAGCCGCAAACTGTGGTAGGCGGTTTGGTCCCGCCTTTTTCCGAAAAAGTTATGCGGAATCAAAAAAAATTTCGCTACGATCGGATAACCGAGCACAAAGTTACGTCTGTTTAAAGTTTCGACGCAAGTCAGGTCTTCACCGCGGCCGGGTAACGCGGTGAAGCATTCACCGCATTTCTCTACAGCGGTGATCTCTTGCAGTTATGTAATCACCGCCTTTCTTTGCCGCGGTGAATGCCCAAACATGCGTAGATTGAGAATTTTTTTCGTGTATTTTGAGAATTTTTTTTTTATAAACATATGTATTTTGGAATTTTTTCATTATAATCTTTGGCTCTCATATTAGGACCTACTTAGTTAGAAGTTTTATTTACTGCCAACGCCACGACAGACAACAGTGGCGCGTTAACGACGACAACATCCTTACCACCTAAACACTTCCTAAAATGATGAAAACTAAAAATGATTTCCTTCTTTCATCGATCACAAAATGCCAAAAGGGATACCTTCAAATGGTACCTGCATATATATCTCCTTACGCATGATATGAATCTCTACTCATGTAGGAAGAATCTACCAATATATAGAGATGTTATAGGCTATGAGAACGTGAGTGCATAATGTAATCCATGTTCAAGTTGATCATACGATGACAAAGAACTACTACGTCCATCCCGAGTACAGAGCTCTTGAGAAGAGAAACACAGCATTCAAAACCGGCGTTGTATGTAACAAGCCTTTGCCTGCTACATTCTGAGTAGGGCGATCGAGCTGCAACTAAGACAACTCCACTTGAACGTCAGACGCGTATCCGCTTCACATCATTCTCTGGAACACTTACTTCATTCCCGTTACCCCCCATCGAGCTCTCTGCTTGACCCTGGAAAATCATCCATTCATCACAAGACATGGTCAAAACAAAGTGAGGTATTTGTTTTTATGAAAAATTCTTTTGACCGCCATCCATGAAGAACCTTTATCCTCTCAACCCGGGTATGGTGGATGTTCTCATCCCACATTACCGCTAGGCTTTCTTCCTCAATCCTATTATACAATGTATCCTAAGGTAAATATGTGTCCTTTCATCCCACTACTACCAAGTGCACTCAAGTATATTAGGCCTCCCAAGATGTAGATAAGAGACCATGTAACATGTGATGGGAATAGGCTCCAAATATTCTTCCTAGGTCAGGCATTGGTAACGGCCCTATTGGCAACCTCTTTGACAATGAAAAACAAGAAGCATGGAACTTACTGCTTCCCCTGGAACAACTGCATATCTATCTGATGGTGAGACCCAGGTTTTGCCTGCCACGGTGAAAGAGTAGGAAATATCCTATCAATTAACAAAGCAACAGAACTCCAATGAGACATAAATACAGCAGAAATAATCCGGGCACCTGATGATGGATCAACTAGAGATGATGGCAACTGCTGACCGCCAGATCCATCAGCGCTTAGAGCTTCAATCAATTTTGGTAAATTTCTGTTCAGAGGCATATAAAACAGTTAGTGCACTATGATGGAATGCCAGACAAACGCTTCTTTAAGATTAAGTATATGGCCACATGTCACCTAAATAATACCTGTCAATTGACTCTCCATGACCAAGCTGTCCATTAGTCCCTCTTCCCCAAGAAAAAACATTTTGCTGATCAGTAACAGCAAGTGTATGCCTCCATCCACATGCAATCTGAACTACTTTCTGTCAACCAGACAAATATAACATAAACCACACGCATCAGACTGTCACCAAAGTGATCATTCATATATATATGAAAGCACTCATTTGCTCAAAGTACAACACTCTCCGAAAATATACGAAAATCTTAATCCCAACAGAAAGGATTTTGGCAATAATGAGAGACCAAAAGTCTGAAGAATGAACCTGATCACGGGGGAACTTTAATTGTACAGGAGAGCAGTGGTCAGCATTATCACCAACTCCGACCTGTCCAAACTGTAAAGAGGACACCATAACTAGTTGCATTGCATCCTTCCAGCATTGGTATATAAAAACTAAATAAAGGATATGTTATGCGTAATGCACCCATACAGTAAATAATCGATGATAACTGCCCTAAAATCCTTGCATGTGAAACCTCTTTTTTGTAACAGGCAGCAGAATATTCTCTTTTTTTTTCAACTACCTCTCAGGTCCTGATTTATAGTATTGTTGCAACAGGCAGGATGTGTACTGATACTGTTCTGTCATCTTCCCGGAGCCCGGTCCACAATGCAATACCAACCTAACTCGAGAACTGGTTTACTGTACGAACAGACACTAGAACAATAAGAAATTGCTAACCTTATTCCATCCCCAGCCATATAACTTTCCATCCGATGTCACAGCCATGGTATGTCTCCAGCCACCTGATATCTGCAAAAGTCAGACCAAGACACATTGAAAAAATGAGCAATGAAGTAAAAGATAAACCAATCTTGCCTAGAAAAGAAAAATAAATGGGAAGTTAAATTTGGAATCAGTGTCCAAGACCAGTAAAGACTAATTGAAGGCGTTCCTTGCGGATTTCTGATTTCAGGATATGAGGTAGAACTGTAGAAGTACAGCTAACAACTGGGCAAACTCTAAAGGACACCTGAATCATTTCCCCTCAGTCTGATTGTAATGAAGAAAAAGAAACAGGGGCACCTGACTTTCATAAGGCCTTCTCCTGATCAAATTCCCAGTACCTGAGTTATAGAACTCTCTTTCAGAGCTTCTAGTTTATGAGGAGAGAGATGGTCCTCGAAGTCTCCATGACCTAGTTGACCATATTTGCTCCACCCGTAGCTGTACAAACCACCAGAAGAAGATACAGATATCGTATGCCGCCATCCACAAGCAACAATTACCATCTTCTCTTCCTGCAACTTTAAGTTGAATTAACCAAACTGGTACTGAGCAAGGGGCAGAGCATTAACTATCATTAAAGTTCCAAGAGAAGAAAATGATTGCGTTGCTATCATATATGTAGGAGTACCACCGTGAAATGACAAACCAAAAAGATGAGGACACTCAGAGCAAAAGACTTAACCCATTTAGTTCTGCTCGGCCTCCATCAAGATTAATGCATATTAGTTAAGTATATTTGTTGGAGTAAGCCAAAGAAGACATTTTTTAAAGTCAGGTTTCAACCTTTAGCTGTGAAGCCAAACTCTAACTAGATATATCAGCCACAAGGTTTTGGAAGGATTAGCATAGAGAATACAGAATCAGACAAAGAAAAAGTTAAATGAAGTGAAGATACCACTTTGTTGACATACATTAGCTAGAGAAACTTTCTCAGGAACTAAGCGATCATTTCTATCACCTAGGCCCAAGTTCCCATATCGACCCCAGCCCCATCCATAGAGTTCTCCATCTTCTGTGATAGCTGCAGTATGCTCAGCACCAGCAGCAACCATTTTAATTGGGATTCCCTACGAACATGAGCATCAAAGAACAATCATTCTGCTGCTAGAATGAATCAGAAGGACATCCTTCAATTTATACAAGGTGCTGATCTAGGTAACATCCAAGTCAGGTCACATCAAGGTTAAAAAATAAGATAATAAGACTTGACTGCGCCAACAACTGAACAGGACAGCCTATTTCATACGTGATCAAGATGCACACCAAACTCAGGCTATTCCCAGATGCTGGGACAAAAATTCTCCTCAAAAGAAGATACTGTCAATGCATAAGTTGCTGATGCTCATACAACATAAACTACCTGAAAAGCTTGAATTTTGTGAGGCACGAGAGCATCTTCCATGGTTCCTAGACCAAGCTGACCATTTTGATTCCTTCCCCAGCTTCATAGGTTAAGGGAAAGCTCATCAATCAGAATGTTGTCCCACACATAAAAAGCTAACTGAGAGCTGCACAAATAGTTAGATACACCCAAAACCTGATGTGGATCACTAAGTTCCAAGCTCACAAGAACAGATGAATAGAAAGATAAACGAGTCCTTAATATTAATAATTAGATCGTCCAATGTAGCCCTCAAAAGTTAGCATGATGTTGATCAAATGTTCTCGGCAAGGAACCAATTTACAAGGGTATCACAGCTACAAACCGTCATTGTGTTCAGGGAAAATGAAAGGGTTTGTACGATTAACAGTATGTGGAACAAGTGATTACACTGAAACATCATTACACCAAGCCTTCAAAAAGGACAAACAATTTTTACCTTTGTACCTCGCCGTCCATTGTAACTGCCAAACAATGGCTGTCCCCGCAAGCAATTTGCCTGATCTTAAGACTGTGCAATGCTTTGATGGGCTGAGGGATGAACAGATCACTAGAATTACCATGACCCAACCGGCCAAAATCTCCCCTAGAAGAAGAAAATAAGCATGAGCAACAGAGCAAGCCACTCTCGGACAGTCAGTCACACAATGCACACAAGCAATGCCATGAAATGAAGTGGGCAGCAAGGCAGAGAAGTCAACGAACCATCCCCAACTGTAGACCTCGGAGGTCAAATCGGAGTAGGCAGTTGTATGATCAGCACCGCAAGTGACGGAAGCAATCTGATGTCCGTCCAAGCGGCTGAGTTGCGTGGGGGAGAGTCGATCTTCAGCATCCCCATGACCCAACTGTCCATCCTCGCCTCTTCCCCAGGAGCAAACCACATTCCCAGCTGCAACCAAGACAAACATCACGATTATAAACGAACGGACAGAACGATCAACACAACCAGGGTACCTCAACGGGAGGGGGGAAATGAAGGGGACCAGCATGTCGATCCATTTCTAAATCCAAAGAGTCCCAAGGGCAGAACAGGAGTAGGAGGAGACACTCACAGAGGAGGGCGACGGAGTGACTGGCGCCGGCGGAGATGAGAAGAACACGGTGGTGATGCACTGGCGGGGATGTGAATTCAGTGGATCCCTCTACCCCCATCATTTTCCTTTCCCTCCACTCGGTGTGCTTGGACTGGAAGAGAGGATGGGTGAAGAAGACAAGGGAGAGAGTACGAGAAAAACTGGGATAGGCGGTGGAGCGAACTGGGAAGGAAAAGCCCAAGCAGAGGAGAGGGGAATAGGACAGTTTGGTGGAGAAAGGTCATGGAAAAACAACAGGCATTAATGGTGGTCGGTCCCCCACTCACTCACTACTACTGTGGCACCATTGATTTTGATTTGATTGGGTTTCGGGAGATACAAGAAGCGAGATAGCCTTTTAGCTTTAGCATTGAAAAAATTTTGTGAACAAATGTTCTGGAGCTAATCGAAGTGTTTATCAGATTCTTGATGCACAGACAACAGATTAATAAAGGAGGGAGATTTGAATCATTTTATGCTTAAACAGGCTGCTTATGGGGTTAGGCGTTTAGGGGTTAATTGCATGGTTGGTCACTGAGATTACAAAAAAAGTTTATGTTTGGTCATTCGAAATATTTAAATTCATTGGTGGTCCTTTAGTTTAGTGAAATTGTTCACGTTTGGTCACTCTCTGTTAGTCGCCGTTAATCTTCGCTAACCAAGTCCGTGAAGTGATGACGTGGCGGACGAAATTGTCTAATCACCCTTATTTAACCCGAAAGTAATGAGACCCGACCCGCCATGTCACCTGGACCAACCCAACCTTTTAACCAGACCAGACCCGACCTTTAAACAAACCGACCCACACAAATTAAATCCCTAAAATCTAAACCAGAAGTCCACTTATCCCCTTCTTCGATCCTGTTACCTCCTTCCTTCCTCCTGAGTTTCTTCCTCTTTCCCTCTGTTCGATATTTCACCGGCGACGAAGAATGGATGGAGCTGCCTCCATCGCCACTCACTCCCTCGCTGCAACAAACACGCAAACACATATCTCACTCACTCACTGGTGCAGCAGTAGTGGCCGATGGATCCCGGGAGCCGGAAGTGCCTTGTTATTTCATATTCGGTCTCTGTTCGACGCTAGCAACAACAACAATCTCAATACCAAGATGAAAGCCAATTACCATGCTTACGACATCGATTTTCCTTATCTTAAAGCTTAAGAGATTAACAGTATCCCCCAAGTATCCACCTTCATCTCCACACTCCACCTCTAATTTACTAAACTCTAAGAAGATAGATGTTGAGCTGAGGAGCGCCATTGCTATATGGGTTCAACATGTAGAAAGCTTCGGAATACCTGGACCCAACGATCCTCTCGATCTTAGCTCTCATGTACAAGATCTATGTCCTCTCACCTACCCCAAAGCTCGGCATCACCCATGCCCCCATCGAGATCGGCTCCAACACGTTCAGCAGCTTCCAGTCCTTTGCCCCGCGAACCCGCACTTCTTCACTGGAAGTGCCTTTCTATTTCTCTTTTCGACGCTGGCAACAACAATCTCAATACAAAGGATTGGGGATAAGTGGACTTCTTCTTTAGATTTTAGGGATTTAATTTGTGTGGGTCGTTCAGTTCAAAGGTCGGGTCTGGTCTGGTACGAATAGAGGGTTGGGCTGATCCAGATGACATGGCTGGTTTTATTGACGAGGTGGGTCGGGTCTCACTATTTTTTGGTTAAATAGGACTGAATAGACGATTCCGTCTGCCACGTCATCACTTAACGGAGATTGACGCCGAGTAACGGAGAGTGACCAAACGTGAACGGTTTCAGTAAACTAAATGACTACCAATGGATTTAAATATTTCTAGTGACCAAACATAAACATTTTTTTGTAATCTCAGTGACCAATCATACAATTAACCTGGTGTTTATGGGTTATGTTATAATAATAAAAGAATTGTAATGTTATAAAATTACATATGGATAATAATGGATGGTTGAGATTTGAGTGATCTAATGGTTAGCAAAGGGATAAAAAAAAAAGGGAAATAGGGGTTTGGGTCTGGTACATCAAAATTAACCTTATACCACATATACAAAGAATTAAACGATTTTATAAGAACAAGTTAATAATAACAACAAAGATAGGTCACATGGTTGGGTTTTTGCGTATGTTGAATCACCCCTCTTATTGTAATCATGGGGTAATCAGCATATCTCTAAGTGTGACGAGTTGGGATAAAAATTGCTTAAGTATGGAGAATGAAGTGTTGGAGCACCCCTCTTGCTGTGAAATCTGGCTAAGTATGAGGGATGTGGAGATAAGGCTCCCTAATATGATGATGCTGAGTAAAATTCGACTAAAGCGTCGGAGCAACCCTCCTTAGATGACTAGGGGTTAATCAGTATACCCCCTAGTGTAATCAGGTAAGATATAATTTGACTAAGTCTGGAGAATATGTTGGAGATTGGCCACCCCTCCTAGTTTGACTAGGGGAATAATAAGCATACCCCCCTTTAGTGTGTGACAAGGAGAGGGGGGGGGGGGGGGGGGGGGATGGTGTTGGAGTATCCCTCCTACTATGATGAGAGGGGGGTATTGTTTGAGGGTGAAAAGGGAGATGACGTCAAGTGGCAAGAGGGTAACCCCGTCTCCTCGCCAAGTCATAAATGGTGAATTATTTTTATCATTTTGACCATGTGATTCGAATACCCACCCACATGTGACAAAGGGGGTCTTTACATCTGAATCGTTTTCTCATCTGACAACTACTAAGCTACCAAGTGGAGGGGGTCAAGACTAATGAGGGTGGCACATCCAATGCTAGGGCATCGTTAGGGTAGTTGAGAGGGTAACTGTCACTCCACGTCAGTTGAGCAGTTTCACAAGGCTATTACTTCTTATGGCTATATATAGAAGGAGAAGATGACAAATGAGGGTTCGCAAAAATCATAACTCGACACCACTTATCAAGTTTAATCTTTTCTGTTTTCCTCTACAAATTTTACCATAGTCGTAGTTATGAAGCTCTCACTGAACCTCCATAGTAGTAGGGCTAATATAATGTAGATCTGTCTCGTAGTTTATCAAAAATATTGAACACCCTAGTTTGAACTTTGTTCAGAGAGGTGTTCTGTGTTTGTTAATCGTTTGTTTAGAAGTCAAAGGTGCAATTCCTTTTTGTTCAACTCTAACACGCCCCCTCAAACGAAAGCCAACTCACGGGCTTGAAGTTTGCACAGGCCCACCATACCTTGTGCATTAATAAACTGTTAATATTGGGGGTCGTGGAGATTCGAACACATTACCTTTCGGTTCTAGGCTCTGATACCATGTCATGAACCAGTTGGTCCCAATAAATCGACTTGCGACCCGCCATGCCCCACCCTGTTCTTGGTCCATTTTTCTCTCAATTTCTTACAATATCTATACTTATTTATCATATTTGACTTTTATTCAACTAGTTAGACTTGATCTTTCAACTAGATGTCATTCTATTATCACAATTTATCATTCATAAAGCGTTTTCTTCTTCGTTTTATCATAAATAGTAAAATTTACTGTGTATTTTTTTTCAAATAACATCTAAGAGTAAGCCTACCCGTCCCGTACCCATCCGTGTAATACCCGCCCCCGACTTGCACTAACAGGTTCAAGAGAAAGTCATAGATAATGAGGTACCCGCACGTCGATTTCCCAACCCCAACCATTCTTGCTTCCACCGAATCAAAGCTTATTTTCTTTTTCCTACAGACTGTTTGGTACAAAATGAATCGAGAATTCATTCATTGTAAAATGAATTACCGTGTAGAATTCATTCTCAAATGAAATCTTGTGTTTGGTATGTCATATTCAAATCGTTAGAAATAAAATAAATTTTCGTGTAGAATTCATTGTCAAATGAATTCTTGTGTTTGGTATGTTATATTTATAACTAATTTAGTTAATAAAAGGGGTTAATTGCATGGTTGGTCACTCAGATTATAAAAAACGTTCATGTTTGGTCACTCAAAATATTTAATTCCATTCGTGGTCACTAAAATTAATTAAAGAGTTCAAGTTTGGTCACTCTCCGTCCATCTCCGTTAACTTTTGCTTATGTGGCAGTCAACTCTTACAATTGACCGTTAAATGTGCCACGTGGCAATTTAAAAATAATATTTTAAATTTTCAACTCATTATTCCAACTAATAAAAAATAAAAATTATAAAATACCCAATTTCTTTTCTTCTAATTTCCATGTTCGGATGAACCTCAACCGTCCCTTCTCCTTCTTCCTTACGCCACCGCCGCCAGCAGCACCACCGTTATCTCCGCCGCAGCCACCTCCACCACCACTGCCGACAGCTCTCCCTCTTAGATCGGATCCCTTCACATCAACCCATGAGAAATTGAAAGCCCCAACTTCACAAATCTCTCTTTCCCTCTCTCAAATGCATTAAATTAATCAAAAGTGAAAAGTTCCCTCCTTGCACCTCTTCGCCATTAATTAAACATTTCATTGTCATCCCCGCCATAAATTTTCAACTGGGTTCCAAGAAGGAGGAAAGGTTCCAACTTTGAGCTGAATTTCGGTTTTTGGTTTTTTCCCCCTCTGGGTTTGTTGGAGAAAGAGAAATGGGGAATGTGACGTCGAACGTGGCGGCGAAATTCGCCTTCTTCCCACCAGACCCGCCGACGTATGACGTGCTGGAGGAGGAAGAAGGGAGGCTGGTGGTACCAGGTGTCACGGCGGACAAGAACATGGATGTCCATACGTTGGATACCAAAGCTGGGAACAAGGTTGTGGCCATGTTCTGGAAGCACCCTTTTGCCAGATTCACCCTTCTCTATTCCCATGGCAACGCCGCCGACCTTGGCCAAATGCATGAGCTCTTCATCGAGCTCAGGGCTCATCTCCGAGTCAACATCATGTGGTTAGAAACTCTGGCTTTTGTTTTAATGTTCTGTTTTCATTTGTGCAAATTCACCGTACTTTGAACTTTAAATCAACCATTAATGTTGATTGGGAGATGTTCAAGACTGGATTTGATGAAAGTTTCTAGCTTTTCGATGAATTCTTGTCGAAATTAGAGTTGTTTCTGGTTTTGGGTTTTGGGATGCTTGATTGTATTCCTTGTTGTTCAAAGTTTGGAGCTTTATTGTGATGACCTTTGTTCTCTGTTGTTTCTCTATGCAGCTATGACTATTCAGGCTATGGAGCATCTTCTGGAAACGCGCCGGTCACCAGCGTCGTGAAGCTGAAGGTGGTTGACACATCAATTTGGTCGATGGCGAGCTCTGTCAGTGCCAGCTACACGTTGCGAACTGCGGCAACGACGAACTGCGCGTCGGCGTCGTCGCCAACATAGACGACGGAAATTCGCGTGCGGGGATAGAACGACACTACGTTGTGCCGGAGCCACTCTGCTGCGGAAGACGGAGATTTCGCCATTTCTTGAACCAGATGGTTCAGAACGGAGAGCAGCACGCTGGCCTCGGTGAAAGACAAGGCCCGCGTCAGGCTCGGTGTTGGATCCAAAATCCGCACAGAGCAGAATCCGAGAGCCACCACCGCTGAGGCGATGGTCTCCAGGAGGCAGGAGGTGCTGCGAGGACGGAGATGAACTGCGACTGGAATTCGCTGGGCGGCGGCGGTGGTAGTGCGGCGGCGGAGTAGGTAACTCCAACAGCATCAGGGTTTGGTCGGTAGGGTATGGAGATTAGAAGAAATTAGTTTTAATATTTTTATTTTTTTAAAAATTGTGATAATGAGGTGAAAATTTAAAAAATTAAATTTTTTATTTTTTAATTGCCATGTCACATACTTAACGGTCAACTCTAATAGTTAACGGCCACATCAGACAAAATTAACAGAATTGGACGGAGAGTGACCAAATTTGAAATGTTTAAGTAATTTTAGTGACCATGAACGGAATTAAATATTTTTAGTGACCAAATTTAGACCTTTTTAGTAAATCCGGTGACCAACTATGCAATTAACCCTAATAAAAGAGGATAATTGTATCATTCTATTAAAAATAGTAAATAGTTGTGGAATTCATTTGGAAATTTCATCTCAATTCCTCGGAATTGCTATAACTAGTTCCAATTTCGTAAAATTCAAAATTTATAATTGAAAATGAATTCTTTCAAATACAAAACACAAAAAAAAAAATCATTTCAAAATGAATTACTCAAAACTTAAGAAATTCATTTATAACAAACGGTATGTTAATATTTAGTCTTTATTCCTCTATAATATATAGCAGTACGTCGAGAGATTTTGAGCATTTCAAATTCCTTGCACTCTCCTTAATTGTAGTTAGGGGTAAATTTGTAAGTTCAACTTAGAACTTAAATATCTTCTTACGAGAAAAAAATGGCATTACAAAGATTTGAACTCAAGTACTTCAGATTGATAATCAATATCACTAACCAACTAGACTACAACAATGTTTATGTATTTTTTGAATTAAAGAGAGAAAATACTGAAATAACTCAAAATCATAGGACTATCCACCACAACAATCAATCATCGAATTAATTAGTAACTGTAATTATTTACAAAGTGAATCATCATGATATACCTAGCTTTATGAATCAACTAAGTGAGTTCCTCTAATCACACAATTCGTCACCAAGAATCAAATAGTACATTTTGAGTTTATGTATGTCTTACAACTTTTCATTTATTAGGTTACATGACTTTGTAGTTTGTAGGAATACAAGGATTGTTTACAAAAGTACTATACAAAATTTTATTTCAAAACATAAAATTTGATATTTGTGATCTATGGTTTTGTAACGAGACATTTTCAATGCTATAAGTGAATGACCAAAAATCATTGGCTAACAGTTTTCCTAATGGTTGACAATTATAAGCATAGAATTGAAAGACTGAATATCATTGACAAATGAGTCAATTATCATTGGCTAAATTTAACAAACAATGGTATGTGTATATACGTTGGAAATTCTATGGTACGCTCGATGGATTGAGGGTTATTGCATTTCCTTAGTTAAATAACATTATCTAGACCATAGATTAATCACGTAACTAAACCCTATATCATAATTCTCCAAATCCTAATATAGTGCATATGGTATGTTGTATACATCTTGGCGAATCAGAATCATTGATTATGTTCTTAGTATATGTGATATTAGGGTTTAAGTTCTACAAATTTAGGGTATATGATTTAATTATTTGAAAATTAATCTCCCTTTTCAAATTTCCTGCAATGAGAGGGAAATTAGGAAGGACATTTTTGTCTTCATAATTATCTGTATTATTTATTTATTTATATATAGAAAAAGATAGACATATTGAGATTTGAACCATGGTCACTTAAAAAAAAGTGAAGGTTTAAAATCAATGAAACTATGTAGATTTGTTGTATTTTTTTAAATTAAAATATATACGAAGCTAAAATATGAAATCACAAAACTTTTCAACAGTTAGCTAGCCCAATAAATATTCTGTAAGTACTTATTTGGCGTTTTGATACTTCTATTTTGATATTTTTATTTTAATTATAGTTTAATACTTAATTTAAAATTTTATCTATCTTATAAATAGACGATAACCATAAATTTACAACCAAAATATTGTTGGTTCGAATATTTCATATTGAATTATAGTATTGAATGTGTAGAAGTGATATAGAATTCTTAAATTACCATTAATTTCCAGAACTATAGTGAAGCAATCATATCTTTGTGCAAACTATAGGGGACTGGTTCTCTGAACATTTTTGTCTAGTTAAATACTAAGTTTTGAAACTCTTCCTAGGGGTGTACGTGGGTTGGTTCGTTTGGGTTTAGATATTTTAATCACCTAACTCATATACCACCATTTTGAAAATACTAAATACAAACTCACCCAAATAATTTAGAATTTTAACGGTTTGTGTCCTCCATACCAAATGAACCAATTTACATGTCGCTTAGCTAAGGACGATCTCATTGTCCAATCCCATCATTCTCATGTCAATCCATAAAAGTAACCCATATTTGTGTTTGTTAACACATGTTTCACATCGTCATTACTGTGACCGGTAACTTCGCTACAACTGATTCGATATTGCTCATCATATGGCCTCCAAACTGATAAACATATCGGGCCATTAATCTAATTGCAAGCATAATGATTGCTAAAATTAAGCTTTCACGCAACACACTGGGAATTGGGGGTGTGAATTTGTAGTAAAAGTTGATATTGAGTTTGGGAAGGGAAGTGGTGAGAAGAAGAGATTGTGTTTGGATTTGGTAGTAGGTAAAGTTCATGGTTCAGTTTCTTTTCGTAAAATGCTTTGATTTATTTTAGTTAGAGGTATAATATCATGGTTATGTGGGATCAAATGAACCAAAAATGAGCTTGGGGGATGCGAATTCCAACTTAGAAGGAGTGGATTATATTTTGATAAACTCAAGTTCATGATTAACTGAAAGAATATTTAGATTTAGACTTTGTGGTATTGAGACGTTCATAGAGAGTTTAAAACTGGTCTAAGGCCATGGATTGATATTGGTTAGTTGATTGTGATTTTGAGGAAGGTGTATAAAAAGTCATGGAAGTAGTTTGCAGCAAGTGAAGGCAGTGAAGAGGCAGTTGGTCAGGGTAATGATTGAACCAAGGAGGGTATTGAAAGACATAGAAGCAAAATCGAAGCAGTTGAAGAGAGAGAAGTGGTAGATGATCAGGATATTAATGAAAACGGAGAGGGTATTGAAGGGCATGAAAGTGAATTGGATCAGGTGAAGGCGGAGAAGGAGGAGAAGAGCATAATGATGGAATTTAAGATGAGTGTTTGTTTTATGAGCTTATTAAAATTGCCCCGAGGAAGATGAGTTGGTCAAATACAAGAAAGAGGATTGAGGAGTTGGAGATCAAGCTGACAAGAAACTCAATTGAAAGATAAATTCAGGTTCACGGAGAGAAGGTCAATCAAAGTAGCATAAATGGAGTTGTAGAAGGAGGATTAGAAATTGAATTTTGGTTTAAAACATATACGTCAAGAGATTGAAGATGGAGGGGATAAAAAGTTGGTTGTACAACGGAGAGTGGAAACTATTGGATCTTTAGGTGTTATGGTTGTTGCAACTATGACAGCCTATGTTTATGTTAAAACGAGGAATCATTGATTGATATACTAAAGTTAAGGTCGATTCACTATTCAAACTACTGAAACATGTAGATAAGGAGTGTCTAATTTAGTGCCGCATTACTTTGATCGAGTCTATTAGTATATTAGATGTAACTCTAATTTTGTCATTTGTTCTCAAGTTTTGATGGTGTCCTTTTAGTTGAGTTGTTAGCATATGATTTACTTGAAACAACAACTCTTCATTTTTTTTTATAAATCCATTTCTTTTTTATTAGTGGCATGTTATTCATAGAGGAGAGCTTTGAACCATTTATGTGGGATTGTGAGGTTTCATTTCAGTTTCAAACTATCTATGGATCGTGTGGGAATTTCAATGAGTTTTTATAATATATATTTATGGACAATCTATTAAGCAATTATCATTATGAAAATGAGATTAATAACAAATTTTTATATTCTAAAATAAGGAGGATATTTCCCTGAATGTTCGACCTATATATTCATTCTTTATGTAGCATCTCGATTGAATGATTTTCAATTAATAGTCTTAAACATAACATAAAAATATAAATATTAAAATATGAACATTCGAATAACACGAAGGAAAAAATCCCACTGTACACATGTTCTTAAAAAAAATTCTCAAAATACATAAGTTATAATTTTTTTCCAAAACTACAAATGTTAGGCATTCACCGTTTTTGACAAACGCAGTGAAGATTATCACCGTGTTTGACAAACACAGTGAAGTATTCACCGTTTAAAAAAACGGTGAAGTATTCACCGTTTTTCTCTAAAACGGTGATATATTCACCCTTCTAGGTTAAAACGGTGAGTATTTCACACGTTTCCAACCCCTGTTAGGTGAAAATTAGGTAACAGCTACCTAAGTACGGAATAAATTCAATTGAAATCTAGGTAAGCATGGAATACTTTTAAATTAGGCTATGTACGGAATAAATTTAATTGAAATCTAGCTAATCATGGAATAATTTTAAATTAGGCTAAGTATGGAATAAATTCAATTGAAATCTAGCTAATCATGGAATAATTTTAAATTAGGCTAAGTACGGAATAATTTTAATTGAAATCTAGCTAATCATGGAATAATTTTAAATTAGGCTAAGTACGGAATAAACTTACTTGACACCGTAAGGGGGATTTTGCAGAAAGTTTAGCTCATCATCGGCTCTCAGGTATGGACGTGGGACTAGAGGTGCGAACATTGGAAGATGCTCCCATACCCACAGCTGTAGGATAAACATCGCAGCACCAGCTTGTTTTGCTCCCACCTTCGAGCAAGTGCACAGCTCCCGGTATATGCCAGCTAACACGGCTGATCCCCAAATCTTTTCCCCGATTGCGTCCCAGTCACCAATGAACAATGGCAACCATATGCCTTGAATCCACCGGTTTGACTTTGTCGGGGAACAGAAATCCACCCACCAGACCAATGAGGTAGATGCGTGCATAGCGCTCCACTTGATCTTCCGGAGTCTCGTCATTGATTTCCACCTCATTCTGGATGTGAGTTACCAGCCACGGGACCGACACTTGTCCCGCATTCAACGGTGGATGCCCCGTCCTTGAATTGGTGTGGTGGTCGGCATGTCAAATCCCAATTCTGCAAGTATGAGCGGCCCCCAACCTCCTTCGGGTTTGGTAGTGGAACCAATGATGGCATCTCCAGAAATCGGCAGCCCGGTGAGGATCTCCACGTCTTTGAGGGTGATCGTCATTTCCCCCTCCGGAAGGTGGAACTGACTCACTTCTACTGTCACCCTAGGAATTGGCCAAGTGAAACCACTTCCTAAAGCGTAGTATAGCGGGTTTAGGTTTAATTATCAACCCGGGTCCTAGATTTGATGACTACTCAGTGAATTCTTGTTATCTAGCAATGAAACTGGAATGCAAGTCTAAACTACCAAACAAACAAAGCAAGTAAACGGTTGTATTCAAGTTAAGAGAGGTCACCCGGATATGGTTCCCCCTAGACTGCAGTTAAGCCGGATTGCAATTACCAAGTTCAGTTTCTATGAAAGTTATACTGCGGAAGGTTCTTAAACAGCCTGAAGTCTCGACTAAAGGTCTTCAGACCCTCTCAATCCGAGTCTCTAGCGGGTGACTAACCTCCACCGGAGTAAACAGATTGAGGCCTTAACAAACAAAACCTCCACTACCGGAGTGAATCCGGTACATAATAGTGAGTTGGTTCCTCGACTAAAGTCACCAACTCCCTATCTTCAATCAAGGATGCTCTATCAACCTAGGCAGATATTCTCATTCTAGGTCAAAGCAGAAACAACAGGAATTTGATCAGGATTCAAGTCATTCAATCATTAAAACCTCAATCGAATATAATCAAATCATAGAATCAGTACTTGGGTTCATACAATCAAAGCCTAACATACAAATCTAGGGTTCTCCATACCCAGATGAATGGGAGAACTACTCCATGGAGAAAGAAGCAAAAGCAGAATCAGACGCGGAATTCATACTGTGAAGGATGGATTCCTGCTCCTGGACGTTGATCGGCACTTCTCCAAGCTCAAGCTGGCCTCCAATGGTGTTGAAGATCAATCTAGGGCACTTGGAGACTCTTGTTCGTCACTTTCTCTCTCTAGGAATCACTCTATCTCTTTCCAAACTCCAATCCCCTTCTCTTTGGCTGAAAATCTGCTTAAAAGGGCATCAGTGGCCAAAACACGGTCGAGGGCACGGCTGTGTAATGCCTCAGCCCGCCCGTGTTTTGGCTAGGGTTAATTACACGGCCAGTGCATTGGGCGAAACACGGGCGTGGTTGCTGATGGACACGGCCGTGCTCCAACCCGTGTTTTTAGCCAAAATTTGCCCAACTAGACTTTGCTCTCGGCAGTAAAAGCACGGCCACAGAACACGGCCGTGTTCTATTTTAGGTCTACCCGTGTTTTGGCTCCAGCTCACCGAAATGACTTCCGAATGCCCCGAAACTCGTGCTTAGCCTTTCCTTTGACGCCTGGGACCTGAAATATGACAAAATAGCACAACCCAGCGTAAAATAGGTCAAAATACACGACTATGCCTCTCAAACGGATAAGAATTAGGGGTGCAAATACATGCAATTACATCGTTATCAAATCCCCCCACACTTAACCGTTTGCTTGTCCCCAAACAAACCAAGTCAGACACAAGGTAAGCTCAAAACAACAAGGCATGACATATCGGCACAAAACACATGGATCATACTGGCTTTCGATCAGTAACACATGAACAACTTCAATGACAACCTAGACAACCACCACAGATGACATTCGAATGCAGTAAAATCGAGCAAAGGAAGAGTCTCCCTTCTGTTCACCAACCAACATAGACTTGACTCAACCACTTGTTCAAAACAGTCACATCATGCACAAAGTTCAAGATATCAGAATTAAGACCGAGCAATCTAGGTCCTCACCGGGATAAAGAGTATAGAGAATAAAAGAAAACGAATCGCTCACTCTCGACCAGTGGGGTCAGGACAATATGATGCGAAAAATGCGCATGCTTAATCTCTCAATCCCTAACATCTCTCCATCATGAATGCAGCCTCTAAGTGCTAGAGTTCACATATGGGGTGTCATCACTAACTAATCCGGAGGTCTTAGACACAGGTTCAGATGACTGGCTAGGGTCTTGGACATGGGGAAAAGGCCTTTTAGGTGGTGGAAGTATTCATACAGCACAAGGTTCCACATTTCCAACCCCAACAGATTCACAATCAATCGAACCAAAAACTTTCTTTCTGCTATTCTGCATTACTCAAGTTCAAAGCACAATAGCAAAGGAGGTTACATAAATGCTAGTACTTCTAAGCCAGACTGCTAAGAAACACTACTACATGGGCATTATTCAGATTTTTGGTGGTGGCTCTCCTTTGCTTTCATTTTTTTTTTGTCTTTGATTTTCTTTCATTATTTTTCATTTCTTAAGAGAACCACCACCTCTGCACATTTTCAAACACCTGCCCAACTTTTAAGCACTACCTCCAACCCTCACATTACATTTAGCAGAAACAGCAGAGAACATGTAAAAATCACTCTATGGAACCTTCTAAAAGATGCAAAAGGGTGACTTTTCATTGAAGACCGAAAGAAAGGGAAACACACGGCTCAAAGGGGCTGACTAGGGGTATGACACACCAGGACAGTCAATTTGGTCGCGGGTTAATCCTATGCCTCCATCATTTTAGCTAATGACAACGTGAATACAACACATCATGGAAGAGGAAACTATCGCACAAGAAAGAAACGAGCAGGCTCAAATCTCACATGGCTACCTATATGATCTATCTCTCGTTCTGATTCCCTGAACTAGATGCATAAATGACTGTCAAAAGCAAGTGATCAAACCAAGTCAGATTTGGTGAGCAGACAGTTGAAAAACTGAACCCCTACACAATTCTACTGCACATCTCAGTCATCACAATAAGTTGTCTAAGTCACACTCAAGTTGTCATGTATCAAGTCAAAAGCCATTCAGTTCACTAATCACATCCACAGTGCCAATACGATCAATCATCAAGCAAACAGGCGTGCTTGGAGCCCTCAAATCTCAAGATTTGGACAGTGGACTAGGCTCCAAGCACACATATATATACGTTCCAATTCATACAAAGAACCCCCCCACACTTAAACGCGACAATGTCCTCAATGGAGCAGAGGGAAGGGGAACGATGTTACCGTGAAACAGTAGTCAGGAACGTTGATTGGATGGCTGACCAGTCAAAAGAAGGAGGCACAGAGCTAGAGACAACAAAAACACACACACTGGGTGATAGGAGTCAGAGTACCAAGTCTACAATCTGAGATAAAAACAAAACGAAACCACAAAACACGGAGTCTCAGTCTGGAAAACAGATAAAGCACAAAACCCGCTCTAGAAGGCATCACCACCATCGCCGGTGGGTGGGGGGTACTCATCCTCAAACCCCGGGGACTGCACGAACGGGTAGTGGACCGCGCTCGGGTCTAAAGCCAAGTAGGACATGATGTAGTGCTGCCCGGACATGATACAACGCACTCGGTCCCGCTCACGATCAAGGCGGGCGTGGATGCGCTCCTGGCCGGCCAGGATGCGCTCATTCTGCTGCGAGATCGCCGCCAACTGGTCGGAGATGGGCACCACCACCGGAGGAGGTGGTCCTGTAGATGGAGACCGGGGAGCAGAAGAGGGGCTCGCGGGAGCCTGGGCACGACGGGGAACGCGACGTGGAACTCGGCGGCCACCAGCGACGCTCGACTCGGCCTGGTCACCCTCTGCAGGTATAGGCGGCTGAGGAAGGCCCTCGATCCAGCGCACACCCCCGTGGCGAGCAATCAAGTGCTGGTGGCGAAGATTAGCCTCGCTGAGTGGGCTCGGCCCGCGGACCAATGTCATCCCTGTGTAGTCCACCCCGTAGTTGCGGGCCAAGGCGGTGATCACCGGGCCACAAACGAGGGCGCGAGACGTGCTGATGGCTGGCTTAGTGAACGTCTGGGCAATCACAGATCCCAGCTGGATGGTGTCCTCAGAGCGACCCATCGCATGCATCAACCTGAGAGTCCGGAGTGTGACCCGGTTGGACGAGCCGACGCTGGGTGTGTAAGAAGTGCACATCAGGTGGTTAAGGATCCGCCACTCCGGACGGAGGAGAGCAGCCCGCGTCTGGCTGGCCACGTACTCTTCATCCACACTGTCCGGCAGGCAAATTCTCTGGAAGTACGCCTGGGAAGCGAAGTCCGTGGGACCAGAGAGATCCAAGCGGAGAGGAGGCCCGCCTGCTGTCCGGGAATTGAGACGAAGGGCATTGGCGAACTCCCAGTAGCTGAGGGAGTGCTCCACCCCGCCGAGTGTGAACTGGACTGCATCAAAATAGTCGGAGTTCCCCCTCGAGTTGTGGTTGAAGGTGGCGTAGAACTCCAAGACTAGCTCCTTGTAGGTCGGCTCGGCAAGGGTGAGAAGATGCCGCCAAGCAGGGGAGCGGACCGCGGCCTCCATCTGTGGCCTGGCATGAAGCTCGTCATACCCATCATAAGAGAAATACCAGCAAAATACACCGGGGACCCTCAAATCAAGCGATTTGGACAGTGGACTAGGCCCCCGGTGAAACAAGCATAACACAACTGCCCTAAATAGCACCAATCGAGGCATCACAGAAAAATCACATATCACGCAGGCCATTCAACATGCAATCAGCCCAATCATCCCCCAAACCTAAAATATTCCCAAACCATGCATTCCACAATCAAAAGTTCTTCACCTAACTCTCGGTATCGATTCTCCAAAAAATATAAGAAAAGACAAGGAGAACACACCTGGAGACTCAAGAAGAGACCACGAGAGAGGTGAAGAAAGTGGAAAGAAGCACCCAAAGTCGCCGGAAAACACACCGCAGACTCGCCGGAAAACTCACCGCCGGCGACCCAACCTCAGCCAAACCAGCCCAAATCTTTGGGGAATGTGCTCCTCGACGCCAGGAGCATGGGGGCGCTCGCGTTTTGTGATTTGGAGGTCGGGAGAGGAAGTTATGGCCGGAAAATCGAGGGAGAAGGTGAAAGGGGCGATTTTCCGGCAAGGGGGGCTGGGGGGTTTTGAAAAAATGACTGATCTGGTTTTGGGGGCTGAAAAAAAAAACGATTTTATAGGGGGGAGGCCGAAACACGGGCGGGGCATTACACGGCCGTGTTTCGGATGCTCCGCGCCCGTGTTTTCCCCCATTAAAGCACGGGCGGGCTCTGGGCGAAACACGGCCGTGTTTTCAAAGCCCAGTGCCTGTGCTTTTTATGCCGAGAGCACAAAGCAAAACACGGGCGGGCTCAGGGCGAAACACGGCCGTGTTTTGACCCCCTGCTGCCCGTGTTTTCACTGCCGAGCCTGAAATGCAATTTTTTCAATTTTCAATCTCTAACCACCAAGATTCATTCGTGCCCCGGCTCTAAAATGTACCCAATCACACATCAAAACGAACCGCCCGAGGCACGAAAAACTTTCCAGACGGACTCCAGACAGACTCAAAGACACAAAAATCGACAAAGATGAAATTAATAAATAAAAAAAACAAAGGTAGAAATGCAAACCGTGGTGGGGTTGCCTCCCCACAAGCGCTTCTTTACCGTCTTTTAGCTGGACGCCAATTGCGGAACTAAGGGTCCGCGAGCTCCACTGCTAACTCCGCACGTTCGACCTCGTCTCCCAGGTAGAGCTTGAGACGATGGCCATTCACTTTAAACGGCTCAGTTTGCGGGTTAGCAATCTCAATCGTGCCATACGGGAACACCTGTGTGACCGTGTACGGTCCAGACCACCGGGAACGGAGTTTTCCGGGAAAGAGTTTCAGGCGAGAGTTATAAAGGAGAACTCGATCACCAACCTGGAACTCTTTCGGACCCCGCAACCGTGCATCGTGTAGGCGCTTCGTGCGCTCCTTGTACAACTTGGTGTTCTCATAGGCGTGATAACGCCACTCTTCCAGCTCCAACATCTGCATTTTTCGCTCATCACCTGCAACACTAACATCCAAGTTTAGCAGCTTAAGGGCCCAGAAGGCCTTGTGCTCTAGCTTCACGGGCAAATGGCATGCCTTTCCATAGACAAGCCGGTACGGTGAGGTACCAATGGGCGTCTTGTAGGCAGTGCGATATGCCCACAGAGCATCATCGAGCTTGGTGGACCAATCCTTGCGGGATAGATTCACCGTCTTCTCCAAGATCCGCTTGAGCTCCCGGTTCGTCAGCTCGGCCTGGCCACTGGTTTGAGGATGGTAGGCCACGGACACCTTGTGAGTTACACCATAGCGAGACAACAATTTATCGAACTGACCCTGGAAATGGGTACCGCGGTCGCTTATGATGGCTCTAGGTGTCCCGAACCGGGAGAATAGCTGCTTCAGAAAACCACAAACACGTCTAGCATCATTAGTGGGTAAAGCTTGCGCCTCAGCCCACCTAGAGACGTAGTCAATAGCAACAAGGATATATGTATTACCAAAGGATGGACGGAAGGGGCCCATGAAGTCGATACCCCAGACATAAAAAATCTCACAAGTAATAAACACATTCTGGGGCATCTCATCACGGGCAGAGATATTACCTGACCTCTAGCATCGGTCGCACCTGCGTGCGAAGGCGTCTGCGTCCTTGAAGAGCGTGGGCCAGTAGAAGCCCGACTGGAGCACCTTCCTCGCCGTGCGGTTTCCTCCGTGGTGACCGCCAGCAGGTCCTTCATGACAGTGAGATAGAATGCCCTCCATCTCACTCTCCATAACACATCGACGGATGATCCCGTCGGCTCCGATCCTGAAGAGATGGGGGTCATCCCAGAAGTAGCACTTCAGGTCGGAGAAGAACTTCCTCTTGGCGTGAGTTGTCATCCCCTTGGGCAGCTGCTGGCCCACAAGATAATTTGCAAAATCAGAATACCAGGGGGTGACACTCTCCATCAGGCACATCATCAGCAGTCTCTCATCTGGAAAGGAGTCATTGATCTCCTCCTCGAGGTTGTCCGCAGGGGGTCCATCCAACCAGGAGAGGTGATCGGCAGCAACATTCTCTGCTCCCTTCTTGTCCCGAATCGCAATGTCAAACTCCTGCAGTAGTAGGATCCATCGTATGAGCCTAGACT